GCTACACTTGTTGAGGTCTGCTTCCCTTACGTGCGTTTCGCCGAGCAACATGCCCAGCTGCAAGGTTGGATGGCGTTTCTGGCCTCCCTACAGACGTTCAAGACGTTCAAGACAGTAGTGAGTAATTTTGGAGAAGCGAGACAAATTTTGAAGAACTCGTCGGAGATGTTGACCAAGGCAAGGACTTCGAAAAATGGTAAGTACGCATGTGCGGCGCGGTGCTGTATGACTGCTGTTCTTGCCCGGATATGCGGGCAAGAACAGCAGTTGTACCGTATCGCGTACAGAATAAGCGGGCAAGATGTAGATAATCAAGCGAGGTACAGAGGGCTTGATGGCTGATCAAAGCCCAAGGGTCCAGCCCGAGGGCCGTAGGCCCAAGGGCTGGGCCCGAGGGCTTTGATCAGTCATCAAGCCCGACTGTACCTCGCTTGAATATGCTTCAGACGATCCCCTTCATTCTTCATTCTTTGGGTGATCTCGAGTGTGGACAATGTCGGCCTTTCGTAGAGCAGCCTGAAGTCTAAAGTGCATGTCGTTTTCGTCCCGTTCGTAAGTTTCACACAGAGATTACAGCAAAGGGAAAGTAATGTCAGTGGACGAAAAACCGGTTTCGTGAGAAATTTCTCAGGACTACGTGTCAAGAGCCAGACGTGGCTGAAGAGTCACGGAAGTATTTTCACTTCGACTGTACACGCCTTGCTCACGCTGCATACTGCTGAGAGTTCTGCGGTGCTGGAGCTAGATTTCCAACTCCACAAGTTGAGAGCCACCGCATCCCCGACCACCACCCCTATCGGTTTCTTGTTCTTATAGCCAGATCACCTTGAAAAGACTGAGATTGGGCATGATCAGGGCTTTGATGGTTTTGTCGTACAGTTGCCAATGGCAGCGGGCTTTGATGGTTTTCTCGTACAGGTTGTCAATGACAGCGGGCTTTGATGGAATATCAAAGCCCGCTCTCCGAGGCTGCTGATTGGTCGTATATGTTCCACAGCGATCAGCAACGGACCAACTTATCCTGCTTACTCACCAGATGGCTCGTGTCTCGGACAAACACAACAGATATGATTGTGCATTTCTTGACTTCAGGAAAGCCTTCGATAAGGTTCATCATCCAACCCTGATTGAGAGGCTGAGTACTTTTATGACTCGAAACTCAGTGAAATGGTTTGAATGCTACCTCAATCAGAGAACGATAGCTGTCAAGATTAAGGAGACGATCTCTCCCCAATATCTTTTGAATTGTGGTGTCCCTCAAGGCTCACATCTTGCACCCCTGCTGTTTTTAATCTACATCAATACCCTTCCCGACACATTGACCCACAGCGCCCCTTATCTATTTGCTGATGATGTTACACTGCTCAACACTCATAACATCGGTTTACCTGTTGGTGAGAATCTGGCCAATTTCCAGTTGGATTTAACAAGCTGCCCGCGCTGGGCTAGAGGCATTCACGGGGAGTTTTCTGCGGCCAAGACCACCATGTTCTCCAACTATGCTCCTCCACCCTCTTCGTCTGTCCAAATGGACAACGTACCACTCAATGTTAAAAGTACCGTAATCCATCTAGGCGTTGAGATCAGCACTAATCTTAAATTCCAAGACCATTTCACTACTGTGTTCAAAAAGTTTCGCCAACGTGTAAATTTGTTATGCTTTATGGGCCGTCATCTATCGCATGGACATATTGCCCTACTCTACAAGTCATATGTACGACCCACAGTAGAGTACGCTATCCCTGTCTGGTGCTTCAGACTTACCGCTACCCAGCTAGAATCGCTTGACATTTTACAAGCAAAGATCTGCAGATGCCTGCTGCGGTCTGCGAAGATTGATTTTGATCGCTATGAATCGAAGAATAATTTAAATAGGCTGTGTAATTTGGAATCCCTTCACTTCCAACGCACTTACATTTCCATCACCGTTTTGTTCAAGTATATCCATTGGCACCCAGATTATCTATCCCGCTTTGACATCAATATCTCTTCTAGCGCACGCCGACCAAACAAACTGATTTTCAATTCTCATGGCCGCATCTCTTCCTCTCTCTTTCTGCATAAGATCGGAAAGCTGTGGAACTGCCTTCCACCAAGGCTGACATCCCAAGATTCACTTTCTAAATTTCAGCAGCAATATCGCTTGCACGTGAAAAGGTTTAAATTTGACTGTAGTGGTATATCCCTTGACATTTAAATTAATTGTTTTATTTTTAACAACCCAGCCCTGTGTTTATTGCTAATTTATGTAGCATACACTGTAACACGTGTAGTTTTCCTCACTGTTTATTTCTATTGCATGATTTGCATCAGGAGATCCCCTCGACAGGCCATCGCCTCTGGGAGATCCTTTAATAAAGATTATTATGTAACCTAGCAAAGGGCACGTGGGTCGTTTGAACTACTGATCTTGCCCGCTTATTCTGGCCGCTCATTGGCTGTGGCCTGGCAACAAGCACGTGCCATGTCTGAACGACTGTTCAGGTTTTTACCGTACCGTTTATATGGTTGTAGCCAATGAGCGACGTTCCCGCGGTGGCCTTGATGAGCCGATAAAGCCCGTGGTCAATGGATACGGAAAAATACGGTAGCAATAAAGCCCGTCGTCAATGGCACCCCGTACTCTGTCAGCCTAGCTCTGCAGGGGTCTGTGGCAGTTTTTCGTTGTCAGCTCAGTTCACATCTCACATTCGACTGTGAACATGCTCTGGTACCTGGAAACAGCCTGTCCGAAAACGGCATGAAAAGTGTCTACACATCGTGGTCAGTTTTCAACTCAAGTTCTTGTTGTTGTGAGTGGAGATGAAATTTTACGATAGTTGTGAATAAGGGAAAGAGCATGCACCCATCTATCTGCTAAGAACCAAGCTGAAATAAGTGGCACACATCGCGATCAGTTTTCCACTTTCTGTTCTACATGTACCGGTACTAAAAAAAGGAGTTGACGAGTTGCCGAACTTTTCTGATAATTTTGAGGAAGCGAAAGATCATGGACCAAGGATCATCCCATCCATGAGAAGCGGACGAATCTGAAACTCACAAGCTGAAACCACCACGTCCCCGACCACCACCCCTATACGTGTCTTGCTTTTATAACAGAAAGGCGAAAGACAAAACCTGAAACACCATCATAGAGGTCAGGCAGGACTTTTCGCCTTCATCAAGGCCTCGTGCGTACGGCCGCAGGCGCAGGCCTCGGCGCTACGCGCCTTGGCCGTACGCACTCGGCCTTGATTCAGCCGTAAAGTCCTGCCAGACCTCTATGATTGTCTACATCTTGACTGCCTACTCTGGCCGCTCATTGGCCGTCTCCTGGCAACAAGCACGTGCCATGTCTGAACACAGAATCTAGCATGCGCATGCAGTCTTGCAGGCGCTGGCGAAATAAATAATGAAGTCAAGACGCAAATAAATAACACAATGAGCGATCGTTGCAGGAAAACAATTACTACTTCAAGGAAAGATGAGAAGTGAAACGACTAGCACTAGAAGAAATAGAATAGAATATAGAACAAGGACAATGGAAGCGGACTACGGATGAAGCTACAATGAGGTAAGAGGCATGACACACTGATGACAGATGTCACCACAACAAATACATATTAGAGAGGTTCTGCACAACGAAAATTCGAACGAAGTTTCGCGACAGGCCTTGCGAAAATGTGTACGAATTTTCGCACGAACTTTGTGTTCTGCACATTTTCGTAGTTTGCACGCGCCAAGTGCACGTACGACATGCCCCAATCTCACGAAACTTCCTACGAAAGTTCATTTCGCGTTCCCTCCAAGTTTCGCGTCCAAAGTTGCGAAAGTTCGTGCGAAGTTTCTCACTTCGTGACGTAGAGCGAAAGTTCGTACACATTTTCGTTTTGCAGAACCTCTCTAATACGTCTCTGAGTTGCACTCCCTTGGTATCTCATCTAGTGCTCTACAATGGTTTTGTAGCTATCTGACTGAAAGAAGTCAACAAGTTCGAATTGCAAACTCAGTCTCCTCGTCAGTGCATTGTTCCCGTGGTGTGCCACAGGGCAGTGTACTTGGTCCCTTGCTGTTTGTTCTATACACGCGCCACTTAGATGCCATCCTGCCTGAAGAAGTCATCCACCAAGAGTTTGCGGATGACATCTCCGACATGCCTTGTTCATGATTGTATTTTCCTCTTCCTCCTTTTCTTATATCACCACCTTCATCATTTTGCGAGAACTGTGGCAATACGCCCAGTGCTAAGGCAGATTTTGCCTGTGCCTCTGGTGAAGTGTGTTTGATGATCAGCTGGCTTAGTTTTTCTCCACCTCTATCCTAATTACATCAGTCCCCAATTTCATTTATTACTGCTTTCTATCTGCATTCGCCACCTTTTCATTGGGCAGATCTGCCCGTTTGGTTTGCGAATTAAAATAAACAAAACAACAACAACAACAACAACAACAACAAGTAAAATAAAGCTAAACAAACAAACAAACAATCGTAATGTTTGTCTACACACGCATTGTCTCGTCACACTGCACACATTGTCATATTATCACATCTCCCCCAGGTGACATCACGTCAACAGTTAACTACGGGAACGAACAGGAGGAACGAGACCAGCACGGTTGCGAAGACGATGACCACCAACTTGAAGTGGTTGGGCTGGCACATCAGAATCAGAATCACTAGTACTTGAAGCACATGCATCATCATACTCAGGCACACTCACACTTGACGGCTTAAAGGGGCACTCCGGCTTCATTTTCGACGCCGAGTTTTCGATGCCAAGACGAAGGTAGGTGAAAGAGAAGACACCTCGAACAAGAACGAGTCTCCAGAAGCGATCGAGTCGAGCAGGAAGACGACTTTTGAATTTCGGCCGAGCGAGCGCTGATGACGTAATGAGGGATTAGCTTGCCAGTGGAAATGCATCTGCGCACATACATATCACACACTTTTTGGCCAATTTTCAATCGAAGAAGAGGTTGTTTGCTATGTTCTCCCAACGCCGTGAGCGATCCCATCTTCTATACCCTTCCAGGTACCCTGAAGGTCCTCCAGAGGAGAATTTATCTCCATCAAAGCGTTGTTGATCCGCTAAATTCGTCTCGAGACATATTCACCCAGTGCAGTGCTGATAAATGTAGAATGTTGAATCTGTGATAATTGTCGACGATGGAGAGAGAGGCTGATAGCCGCTGTCGCAGGGAGAGTGAAGCTGCTGGAAGTAACAACAGGGAGCCCGTTTGTATCACCTGAACAACCAGACTTCAAAGCAGCTTGACCAAATCGGAGGGTGCCTCGTTGCTTATCGTGAATATTACACCGACATGAATTACTACAAGTATACTGGTGAGTTTTTATCTTGTTTTGTTCGTATGCTAGTACCCTGGCCTGGAGTTCTCGTTAGCAAATTCCTATTCCCTGGCGTTTTCTAAACATTCCGTGTAGGACTGAATACGTGATCAAGTATTCCGATTTGGGTAGATGTGGAATTTGGACATGTATTTTATTAAAAAAAATCTTTTCCAAATAGAGCGTTTGTAGAGAAATGGTTGCCCAAATACAACAAAATTTATTCTGCAGTTCTACAACTAACTTGTACTGAAATCCAGTCGAAGTAAAAATGATTCTTCATGACAGTTGGGGTCAATGAAATCTGATCCAGGCATAATGAATGGTGACGCCTGCCACCCCGGGAACGAATGCCCATTTGGTGGGGGATACCAAAGTACTCGAAAGTAGTGCGTGTTTCAATGTGGCATGGAAGTTTTATGATCTCTGGTCAATGCAACATACAATAGCCATCATGAATTGCAGGCCTCGAACGCAACTCCGACCAGAATTGGCAGTTCCCTAAGTTAGATGCTTTATAATTCCATGGCCCCAGCTGTAGTTATAGAGGGTTTTTTGCACATTATTCTTATAGTCGATAGGTTTATACTGATGGCCACAAACAACGGCAGTTCAAACTTCACTGATGTGTTCATGAGCTGAGAGATTTCTCTCCACTATTTCTGTTGTGCACACAGGTTTGTCCAATATGCATTGACCGTATTGGGTATGGTACCTGCTCTGAGAAGGGAATCGCTGGAGCCACAGTCCAACTATACAGGCTTTCAAGAAACAGAGAGGAGCCATCTTTGCAAGCTGATACCTGATGTGTACCGACAGAATTCTCACGAGATACCTTACAGACTACGCCTGGTGTATACTTCATAGTACTCCTTCGACTACTGTCTAGAATCAAGTCGACTGAAGCAAGTTCAAACAACTCTGGCTTCAAACGAGCCGTCGATTAGACAAACAAAACATTCTCTCATATACTAGAGCACTCTGACAACTCACGACCTATTCCTAACGATTGCCACCGCTTATAAATATGTAGAGTACTGATTGGAATGTGCTCACAATCTCAACAATCCAGTGCTATAATTATTTGAACTATGTGTTCCTTCCATAAATGTTGTATCCACATATAATCCACAGTGCTGCAAAGTTTCAGAGTTCTCAGGGTATCAAACAAAATTATTTCAAATACAGTGAAATAGTTCGTGGACATTATAGCGTAACTTGTAGTTCCCTGGTCCTTTTCTTTGCTATAAATTAATCCTTTGCTCTCTAGCCACCGGCGAGTCCAACAGTGAAATTGTTAGTTCATATTTATGTGGGTATGTGGGGGGGGGGGGGGGTGAACATATTTCTATATAAGGGACCTGCAACTGTAATACCACAGTACAGTAGATAGCAAATATGTAGAAAACAGAAATGCATGTTCCCATCATTGTACATGGACGGGCGCAGCAGGCAGAAGCTATCAGCCAGAACAGGATTTACAATCGCCTAGAGATACTTCAGCTATTCCAGTATTCTCCGTGAGCTGTCCCATTCCACAATGGTTCATGCCACCATTATTTCTGGTAGTATCCATGTGCATAATTCCAAGAACATCTCGGATTCTTCAACAATTTGTGCCACGGCAAAAGACAACGCTTGACTCGGTCACTGGGGCTGTCAAACTTCACATCACAAATGAACTTCAATTTCTCATCTGGTTCAAGTATATGTACTGCCATGACTTGACCATGCTTCATCCACAGCTGGGCGAAGATTGTGGCGTTGAATTCCATAGCGCACCTTCTTGCTGCCATGCAGGAATAATATGTTGAGAGAAGTGAACATATTTTTACTAAAAAAACAACAGCCACTGAAGAGGATAGCATTAGCAATAGCCTTGGGTGAATTTCCTGCAGGTACACGTTGTTGGTAGGTCTACTGGTCGGTCTCCGTATCGTCAAGTTCAGAAACCACCTGTACTACACATCTTGTAGAAGGGATCCTGATCGAAAATTTTTCTGATCATAAAATTCACTAAACTGAGGGCGAGACAAATAGTCAGTACTCCCCGATTCCGTCTAGCTGCTTTGATCAAGTGATGCTAACAAGCTCCCCGTTGTTACTTCCAGCAGCTTCACTTTCCCTGCGACAGCGGCTATCAACCTTTCTGTCCATCGTCGACAATTATCACAGATTCAACATTCTACATTTGTCAGCACTGCACTGGGTGAATATGTCTCGAGACGAATTTAGCGGATCAACAACGCTTTGCTGGAGATAAATTCTCCTCTGGAGGACCTTCAGGGTACCTGGAAGGGTATAGAAGACGGGATCGCTCACGACGTTGAGAGAACATAGAAAACAACCTCCTCTTCGATTGAAAATTGGCCAAAAGTATGTGAAATGTATGTGCGCAGATGCATTTCCACTGGCAAGCTAATCCCTCATTACGTCATCAGCGCTCGCTCGGCCGAAATTCAAAAGTCGTCTTCCTGCTCGACTCGATCGCTTCTGGAGACTCGTTCTTGTTCGAGGGGTCTTCTCTTTCACCAACCTTCGTCTTGGCATCGAAAACTCGGCGTCGAAAATGAAGCCGGAGTGCCCCTTTAATTAGATCAATATTGACAGTCTTCACAGAATGTCGACCGTTAGTGTCTCGAACAATTACAACAGTTGATGGTGACACAACACTATCAACTGTCCATCCGGACTCGTACGGCGCTGTTCGCTTCTGGCGGCGATCTCCCTGCCGCAACATCACCGTGGAACCAACACTGTAGGTGTTCACACACCCAACAGGCTGAACAAAATCAGCAGAGGACAACTCACTTTCCACGTAGTCTCGCACAAGAGCCGCTTTACTACACAAGCTATCGACCCATGCACTGGGGGACATGTCACAACGTTCATCGTCCACAATCAAGCCATGAGGAACCCAGCCACACATGGCTTCACTTGGGGAAACACCAAGCGCAGAGTGGGGACGAATACGATAATAGTACAATAATACATTCAAAGCAGACACCCAATCGTCGGATTCTTGCACTGTCTTGCGAATCAAATTCAGGAAAGTCCGTTGGAATTGGAATTCTGGTTACATGAGAAGGTGAAGGCGAAGAATGTGACAGTGTGTTCCCGCCCTTCCCGACCCTCTATTGCTGGTCACATTCTCTTGGTCTGCTCAGAAAAGGCCAAAGGAGAAAGGAAGAACATGGGACTATAAAGGGTAAACCAGGCAGGAATGTGCAAATCGACACTAAAATCTTTAAATTGCTATTGTTAGCTGCTCCCGGCTAATGATGCCCCCTCACACCGGAACACAAGGGTATTATGATTGGATAATTAGAAGTATTCGATAAGAGTGTAAACAGTACACTATCTATTTAGGAGAATTCGGAGCGAATCTAGGCCTAACACACTGTCACATTCTTCGCCTTCACCTCCTCATGTAACCAGAATTCCAATGCGGACTCTTTCTGGTTCTGATGGAATTCCCAATTGGGAACCACGAAGACTACCCTTCCTTTCCAAGTTCCCTGAGGTGTGGAGAGAGGGGGGGGGAAGAGAGAGAGAGAGAGAGAGAGAGAGAGAGAGAGAGAGAGAGAGAGAGAGAGAGAGAGAGAGAGAGAGAGAGAGAGAGAGAGAGAGAGAGAGAGAGAGAGAGAGAGAGAGAGAGATGGGGGAGGAGGGACATTCCTGCACTGCTTAAAGCAAGGTTCACAGGAGCATTTTCAGACATTGCTTGTACATTTGTACCAGTTGTAACCGACAAACGCATTCTCATTGAACTTTGACTTGAGGCACGTCAGCAAGGCGCTGTTGCATCGCTGACGTCTTGTCGTGATTCTGTGAATGGTATATCGTGTGAGTTTGCATCGCACGCAGCATCGCAGGTAGTGTCGCATTGCGCATGAACGGCATTGCAACATTGCTTCTGTGAATCCCACGTGAATGGGAATTCCAATGGGAATGTAATCCATTGCCAACAGGTGCATTCCCGAGCTGCGCATCATACTGCAAAATTGCTCCTGTGGATGCAAGTGGATTTCATTGCTGTTCTGAGTTTGGAAAATTCTCGATTATGATAATACTGCGTGTGTGTGTGTGTGTGTGTGTGTGTGTGTGTGTGTGTGTGTGTGTGTGTGTGTGTGTGTGTGTGTGTGCACTAGCCCTGAACATGCGTGTAGGTGACCCATTTATGGTGTCTCATAGCCTACCTCACGACCTTATGCTTTCTTTCTGCATCACTTGTATCTTGTAGGTATATCATCCCGTGACGACCACATTGAAGTCTGAATTTGAAGTGTGAAGATGCTTCAGCAACCGCTTCATATTTTTCCATTGCTTTTATAGTGCTTCTACTGTACATGTGTGTAACTTGTGGGGTATGCATGTCATGACAATGTATGCCGGCGACACGGTCAGATTTTGTCCAAGCGTGTAACGCAAACCTGCATGCCATGCATTGAAAAGGATCTGCCACTTACGACCTTCGGACGAGTATCGGGTCAGCTTGGTTTTGTGTGGGCTGTACCAGATTGCTGTTCACATTGGCGCCCAACTAGTGATCGTAACCCACGACCCTGAGATCGTTATCGTTTGAGCCGTGGTTTCAGTTTATGCTCGCCGTGGTCATTTCGTTTTTTCCTTTCTCTTTGTCGACGTTTGGCGACTTTATTATTTTATTCCTTTCTCTTCGTCAACGTTTGGCGATGCGTTGCTTGTTGTGGATACTCTACTGGACACCGACGGCATGATGCTACTCGACTTCGCCCCGCCATGCTTTGGTGGTACATGTTGGGAGACAGTGGTCGTTCATCAGGCTGATTCAACCTCGCGCTGCACTACAAGGAAGCCTCTTATCCGGTGAGTCGCTCCCGGAACGGGATGTCGTTGTTGTACTAGTTTAGTTGTTGCATGCGAACGTCTTCGGAGATGGTGTGTCCAGTATGTTTTACTTCCCAGAAGCGCCCAGGGCCCGGGTGCTGTGGGTTTTGTTTTTGTTGCTTGTTATCTTTTCGCGCTATCGTTTCTACATCATCGGTCATCATCGGTCTTTGTGACGGCGATCCGGTTCTTGTGTCTCTCTTGTGTCTTTCTGTTTTGGTTTTTGGCAGTCAATGTGCGTATATTTGCTGGGGTTTGTGCAGTTTCTTGATTAGCCTTTCAGTGTAGTCGTGTACCTGTTTGGTCAGCTTGGTTTTGTGTGGGCTGTACCAGATTGCTGTTCACTTCTCATCTGTTGGATATGTGACTTTCTGCAAGTTTCCGGTGTATGGTGGTAGTAGTAGTAGTAGTGTAGCGGGCCGCAGTCTCTCGGAGGCAAGAACGCACAAAGGTCTCAGTGAACACACTGTAATTGGCAATTGAAATGTACTGGAAACTGGCAATGAAATTAACTATAACTTATTGGCAACTAAATTAACTAACTGGCTATAAAAGAATCGTGCGCAGCAGCTTTGATACAAAGGCAGACTCCGTACGTTAATGTACGGGGATACAGTACGGGGATATGCTATACTCTAAACACTAAACGCTATACGCTTTGAAATCCCCAGCGTGCCAACGCTACAGTAGTAGTAGTAGTAGAATTTATTATTTTGATAGGGAAGGCCCTACAGACGTTGCCGTCTTGTTACAGGGAACCCTAAGTGCTCTTTACAGAGCGAAACAAAAACGGATAGATGCTCAACCTGACGACACGAGACAGGCAGAGAATTCCACCTATCAGCGCCAAGGAAAGAAATGGAGAACATGCCATATCTAGTGGTAGCAGCGCTGGTCACTTATTTGCTGTCTTTGTATGATATTACAATCATTCTGTATTCACTGCTTCCATGGCGTGGTCTGCAAACTGCAATCATTAGGCAAATATCATCACGGTTTGCAATGTTATGCTTTGGCCGCCAACTTACTGTGACCTACACATTGTAGTTGAATTATTTTTGTTTCACAACTGACTTCCTGAAGCATGGTGGCCACTGCTTTGCATGGCATTATACAATGAAGAATTTCCTGTTTGGGTCGTGTGCATGTGTGTGCCCATGTGTGTGTGTGTGTGCATGTGTGTGTGCGTGCCCATGTGTGCGTGTGCCGTGTGCATTTACGTGTTTGTCACAGTGTGTCTGTGTGCGGGGTAGCGAGGTGGGGAGGGCTGGAATGTATCAGTGTGCTATTGCAGTCGCATGGCTACATACAGTGCATTGCGCGCGTGCTCACCGTGTTTATCTTCGGAGCTGGACCAGGGTGGGAGAAGGAACGGAAAAAGAACTGAAATTATCCATAAA